GCGGTCTAAAAGCTGTGACTAAGTATTTCATAACATCATGAAAGTATTTGTTAGAAAAGGAATGAGGTCAGGAAAATAGAAATTCTCAGAGTCTGTACTATTTCTGAACTCCCCAACTCAAAAAGACACCTGAAAGAAGGTCCGAGACTCCCCCTGGCCCCCAGTTGAAAAAGATTTCAGCGGTGGCTGTGCCTGACGGACAACAGCAATTTTTGAGCTCATCGCTTGGGCTGCTTTGAAGTGATTTGATCCTCGGCCTTGTCCTGTTGTACGTACCATCGCCAAGTTGCTCGTTGTTGATTTTGAGAGCCAACAGCAAGTCAGTTTGCTTTGATCCTCGGCCTTGTCCTGTTGTACGTACCAAGTTGCTAGTTGTTGATTTTGAGAGCCAACAGCAAGTCAGTTTGTCAAGATACAAAACATCTGAATGCAGATCTTACACTGTACATGTATAACTCATATTCAGAGGCTTTGCTTCGAAATGCATTACTCATGATTGAAGATAAACGCTGAAAACATGCAAAGACGGAGAACTATCTAGTACTGAATTGTGGAACTATGGCGCTTATCTGTTTTTCAACATTTTCAGCTTTTCAAATTTTGGGGTCGAGGCTAAATCATGGCCCAGTGATGCATTTGGGCATCCGGCACGAGTTGCCCCTCCCCCACATCATTAAAAACTTTTATCTTGTCTTGTCATCGGAAGCAATTAAGAGTTACTTATTATTTCTTGAACCATTTTTACCAATATTTGCAGCTAGCTAGATGGCACCTTTTCTGGATTCTACCATTAATAGAACACAATTTAAACTCCCAACTCCTTACTGCTCATCCACCAGCCAAGAGGATTCCAAGACATCGGTTAGCTCGAAAACTACATGTTGGATAGTGCCTCGAGTCAGACCATGGAAATCCTTTTGACTCTGTCGCCACCGTAGAATATAAGAGGATATATTTTTGCTGCTCAAACATGAGATGTAACGGCATAAGTGTGCACAGAATGTAGCATCCATTTTGAACTAGATTGTGGTTTCAAGCATTCAGCGGACATGCACAGACGATTTGAGAGCGGAGACAATGGCTTGATTTTGATTTTGCCAATTCATTTTATACATTGCAATTTTTCAAAATGATTTGATAGGATTGTTAACTACACCCTTCTCTGTGGTGTGTAAAAAATTAACTTCATATATATATATATATATACCTGTATATCTGGTCGGTCTGTTCACAATGATCTGAGACACACACACTTGTGTGAATCACCAAGAGAAGACGCAACTGTTGAAAGATGAATGACCTCATCCATAGATGAAAAGACCCCGGTCAGTTCTGCGAGTCATACTCGTTAAGTCTTCCGTTCCCAGTCGCCACTTCATCACTTTGATAAGAACCCGTCCGTTTAATGAATGGCTCGGATAAGCCCAAAGACGACAGCGGGGTCATTACAAAGACACGTAATACTTCCCGCTTTCCGGCATCCTCTGAAACACGGCTGCTGTCGTGAATGATTCCCCATGAGCTAGGAGGGGGAAGGAACGCTTAAAGTTCAGCTCAATTTAAAAGGTTGAGCTGTTAAGTGAGCAAACACAAACTCATCTTTGAAGAGTTGTGGGGCTGGACACTTATGCCCCCCGGTGGCCTAAGTGGACTCTTTCAGTGTCTTCTTCAGATGTATAGAACAAGTACCTTTAGCATCCCAATTCAGATTAGCAGCAGAAGTCTGAATCTGGATCATGATCAGATCCAAGATCTGGTTACAGAATGAAGTACCAAGTCTCAAAGTCTCTAAAGTTACTGACGGTTTGTTCACCAGTATCTGTGTCTTGTGACGGCTCCTTTTTCTCAGCCCATTTTGTCACTTTTGGAGAAAATAGCTGCAAGAGCGGTCGGTAAAATCGCCAAAAAGAGCAACCAAATGTCCCCTTGGGCAACAACTGACTTGGCTGTTCGAACCTGGCTCCGCTCTGTTTGCAGCCGTGTTAGTGGAAGCAGTGCATGTCTGTTAGAAACAATGGAAAAATTAGTTCAATTCAATGCGGTTGTTTCTGTCGGTGAGCCAGACTGCAACATCGGGGAAAAAAAAAATCCCAGGGGTTCCATGGCATGTAGGTCCGCATATGGTGGTTATGCCAGAATTGTTATTGTATTAAAATTATTTGGAGGTCCTTGGAGAAATTCTGTCCGCTCAACCAGACTGATTGGGAGAACCCAAGGATGACTGCTCCGATGCCGCAATTTCGAGTTCACTCGTCGGTTAAAGTGGACTGAACTATCTTTTCAGGATGATGGTTTAGTAGTCAGTAAGAACTTGACAAAGGCCCATTTCCAAAATTGGGACTACTTTGCGATCTGTTGAAGCGATGGTGGACCGAAGCGGGTCAGCAATCAAATCAAGCACCATACAGCATTTGAGGACATGGGACAAATTGATCTCTCTTCAAGAAAATATCCCTGGAAGAGGTTTTAACCCTACAAAAGGATGCAGAGTATAATCCCGTATTTGCTATATTTTCGCTTTGGATTTGCGGTCCCATCACAGCAAAGTCAAGCCTCCAAACGGCATGAGAATGTTAATCGGTGCATCTACAAAGGTGAGGGCAATTGCTCCCCTTAGACAAAGTGCAGACACATTGACGGAGGCTTTACGACGTCCCACGGTGCCCGTCATACGCGTTTTAGAACCGCCTGGATCGTGTTGGTCATTGCAAAGTGTGGCAAAGCACAAAGCCACACACAGAGTATGCGAGCTTTTCTCTTTGAAGTGCAGCCAAGAGCTGGTCGAGCCAATGTTTGTCTTTCCATCAGCGCTCTCCGCTCAAAATATGTTTCTGTCCAGCTTGGAATATTTTTCAAACAATGCTGTTGACCATTTTCCATTGTTTTCCCACCCGCCGCCCACTGACAAACTAAATTCTGACTTGTGCGGTTTTTCCATGAGAAAATACATCATGTGGGGCAGGATTCTGGGGGTAATAATTTCAACATTATGCAAAACGGTTAGGGTTGGCTGTATTACAAATCCCGTTTTTTCTTTTTTTTTTCAGGATTTCGGTTGAATTATTAATCTCTTAAATCTATTAATCATCTTTGCTGGTTTGGAGTCGACTCAAAATCAATTACACTGTTCTGACAAAGAGAAGTAATTTAAACCGTACGTTTGGAGAATAGCAAAAATGACCATCAGGTGACAAGGACCTTAGCTCACGATGCTAATTTCGTGTCAGCAATGCAAATAAATGCTGGCTTCCACCGATGACATACCCATTAAGTGGTCATTATCATGTTTGATATTATTTCAAAGGGGCCATATTATGGAAATGTGCTTTTTTTTTTTTTTTTAATCGGTTGTACACAAAATAGTGGGTCTCTGGAGCGTGTGAAGCTAAAAATTAACATTGCTGAAAATGTGTGACTTCACTACCTTTTCAAACTCTAGGTTAGGTGAACATTTGCCACTTTCAAGGCATGGCCAGTCACTGATTTCGGTTGGATTCACAAGATTAGCATTTGCTAACAGCGTTGACGGCATGACCATTGGGGTATTTTGACTATATATACTAAGACACCCAGGACCTGTTTTGAATATTGAAGGGGGGAAAAATAATGCATGAAATGTCTACTTTAAAATGGCCATCTGACTGTTTTTATGCTTGGGTCTTTTTTAAGTTTGACAATATGAGGGAAACGCCACAAGGTGATATACCCGAAAAGCAGTCAGAAAGCCTGAAGACAAAATGGAAGTTTGATTTACGACGCCGGCTAAAAATAAAGACTATACTACGAGCTTCAGGTGTCTCAAATCGCATCCCTACGGCTTCATGATTGTTTGGAATTTATTTAAAAAAAAACGTTTTAGTATACTGTAGTCTAGATGGACATGTACTCTACCGTTCTTCTGCTAGCTTCTGGAAAAGTGCTTAGTTTCCAGAAGAGGCCCTTTGTCTGGACTTCCTGAGCCTGCTGGACATTAGCGTTGGCGCGATGGTTCCTTTATGCTGCATTTCCCCATTTCATACTTTACTCTGCTTCTACTTTGGGCATTTGGGGCTCACTTGAGACAAGTAAGATTTACGTCTTCCCGAGCCATCAAAGTGAATGAACACTTATAACTCGCTGAATGTCACTCGCCAGCCGCTGAGCGGCAGGGTTCATTTTAAAAATAATCTGCTGGCTTCATCATCTTTTACGCTAAACAAGCGCATGGACAAATCTGCAGTGAACCGTGACAAATATATCAAATGTGTGGAACTTAGTAAAACACTCAAAGACTCCATCCATAGCCTGCCTCCGCACACTACTATTGAGAAATCTGGTACCTCTAGTCTTGGAGCAGATCTGTAAATCATTTATTTTTAAGGGTAATGTAAGTTGACGTTCAAAAGTGATTTCAGTGTTTTGGGATGATACTTTGTGGTATATTGACAAGTTTAACAAATACTATGGCCACTTAAAAAAACATTTGGGGTTTTTTGCTTTCGCGGCGGAGCTCTCCCCTGATTGTGACTGACAGCAACCACCCAGATTCTTCATGTCTGGGTTGAGGGCTAGTGTGGCGAGTTGGCTATTTTTTTTCTTACCAAGAAAAACGTCTGAGCACAAAAAACAAGTCTAACAAAAGCACAAGTGAACATTTTTTTTAAAAGCTATGTTTGACAGGGGGTTTGCATGTCCGCCTGGCAATTTGGAGGTTCTGGGTTCAAATTTCTAGCTTTCCTGTGGAGAGTTTGCCATTTCCAAAACAAAGCTTGTAATGCTCACTGAAGACTCTAAATTGTCCGTAAGTTTGATATTGAATCGTGGTTTGTCTCTATGTGCCTTGTGATTGGCTGTTGAACAAAGTGAAAGCTGCCTCTCACCCAATGACAGCTGGCCTGGCCTCCGACTCGACAGTGATCCTATTGAAAACAGGCGCTGTAAAAAAAATGCACGGATGGACGTTTGGCATAAAACCACTGCACATCACCATAATCCCCACTTGTGAAGAAGAACTCACATTAGGAAGATGATAAAAATTTTTATTGAAGCCCTTCAAGTGCTTTTTCACTTCAATTTATCAGCGGAGGGGAACAGCTCATCTTTTTATTTGATGCCGCTGTTGCTCATGGTCTGGGCCCGGCACGCTCCCTTTCCGACCACTTCGAACGGCGCCCCCTTGTAGGTTGCGACGCAGTCACCGTCTGTGCGCAGGTCCGGCTGAATCTGCTCCCACACTTTTTTCTTGGGGTTCAGCTCTTTGTCAGGCTCGCCTGCAAGAGCAAAAAAGTGATTTTTAGATTGCAGTAGCAAACGTCACATTTCATGTCTTTGTTAGCATTTGTAACGTTTGACTGAGCGATGGGCAACATGAGGATTCAATGGACATGGTTCGTGTGAAGAAAAAAAAAAAAACAAAAAAACAACAAAAAAAACCAACAACTCAAAAAAAAGGACTTTGTACCCAATACAAAACAGTCCCAAGCCAAAAACGGACCACCGGGAAAGCTGTCATCTTTCTTGTTCTTTGAGTGGTCAGAAGAAACAATTGTGTGACTGACAGGAAACCATCAACATGATGGCTGCAGCTGCTGCGACTCCACCTTAAATGAAAACCCCCCAAAATTTGTTTTCCTCTTACGGTCACAATTCGATATTGTTCTCGAGAAAACAGAGGATTTGAACGACAAATTCGCTGTGTTGTTTCAGACAGCCGCAGTATCAGCCAATCAACTGTGTGGACTCGCAGGTGGAGAATTCCATTTTTCCTTTTTTTTGCGAACTAAGAGAGAAAAGAAGAAAAGACCTGAGAAGCCCTGGAAAGTGACTCTTTCCCCTGGCACAGCACCATTTGGAGGGTCGAGGATTTCCACCAAGTCAGGAGAGCTGGCGCACATGACCATGGCCTGAGACGTCACCCCTCTCATCTTGGCTGGCTTCAGGTTACACAGCAGAATGGCCATGCGGTTCTGCATCTGCACCATAGAGTTAAAAACATCGTTAAGGTTCTTTTGTCCTGAAACAGGAGAGGGAGGAAAAAAAAAAAAAAGTCAAACCCCTTACGACTCCTTTCAATGATGTAGCAATATTTCGCATTTTTTCCAGCCTCGGTTCAAAGGGAGTGTGTGTGTACCTGATCCAGAGGCACATGCTTGACCAACCCGCTGACCACCGTTCTGGGTGAAGCCTCCCCGACGTCCACCTGCTCCACATAGAGACTGTCGGCGTCCGGGTGCTTCTCCGCCGTGATGATGCGGCCAACGCGGAGGTCCAGCCGAGACACGTCCACCTTGGCTTCATCCTGACCGGCTGTCGCCATCTGCTGAGGCTTTTTCTCTATGCGTTTAAAAAGACAACAAAAGTATTTTTTTTTTTTTTTTTTTTTTTTTATTGTCGAACAAATTCTGACTTACAAGTACAGTGGAAGCCAAACTATTTGGCTTCAATCCAAAACGGCTTTTTGCTTTTTCGTGGATGAATTGCGACTGCCATCACGGCAGGGTACCGCGTGACTGCAACGAGGAAAAATGCCATAACCTACGGCGTGAAGAACATTTTTATGAGTCGAGGAAAGAACAGATGAGTTCACTTGTTTTGAGACATCTATTTTTAGAACAACTTTGAAGTCACCCATCATAACGGAATGCATTGTATTCCACTTGGAAGGTTCGACTGTATCCCCACTGTGTTACGGACCGAAGCATCTGTGAATATTTACATGCTAATTTAACCAAAAAACGTTTAACGCAAGTTTCTAGGAAATGTTTATTCAAAAACATTCTGGGAGATTTTCATCAAAGACGAAGTGAACCTCACCTCTGATTTGCCTCAAAAAAAAAAAAAAAAAAAAATATATTAAGGTGTGTGTTAACAATTTGAAGCTACTCCCATCGAAAAAATACTGACCCAACGACACACTAGACAGCTGTGTCTGGATTAAGATCGACGCTCCTCCAATTAAGTCAAGACTGCCACGGATGCCCACCCTGGGGATGTCCTTTAAAAAGCATCTCGATGCTAACAGTTACCGAAAAGGTCTTCTGGAGATTAATGTAACTCAGCTGTGGCTTCTCTGTAATGTAGATTTATTTAAAACACTTGCAAAACAATAAATTAATCGCAAACTTATGATGAGGGTTTTTTTTTTTGTTGTTTTTCCATCGCGTCAAACATGACAAATCAACACCTGATATGAAACGCCTGTTTTGATTGTGGCCGACTATTTCAAAGGCTGCTTTTAATAGCTTCAGTGTTGAGCACACATAGTGTCGCCACTTCAAAAGCATTAATAATTGGAGGATTGTTGATGTGCGCCATCGGTCACCTTTTTTCTCCGGCTTTTTCTTATTGTGGCTGTCGTCTTTGGGGGGAGGACTCTGAACAGGGGCGGCGGCGGCGGGGGTGACGCAGGGCGCAGGACCACCGGATTGGGGAGGAGTGGCATGGGACTTCTCAGAGACTTCCACTGATGGCATGGCAACGTCTCGCACTGCAGGGAAAAGATTTCATCATTGGATGAAACGTTCAGGTAAGTGTCCCTCAAAACTTGGCGGTCAATATTTCCCGTTGAGATCAATTAAAGGGCTTCGCACAGCTCCTCGGTATGTATCAAGGTTTTGGGAATGATTTCAGTATGATAAATACCTGTAAGCACTAAAATGGTAGGAGTGGTGCGAGTGTGTGTGTTATACAGTATGCGATCGCACGTGACGAGGTGGCGTGCGAAAACAGTGTGGTGGTGAGAACGTGAATAAAGTTCATGCAAAGTTCATGCATCAGTGCAGTGTTTTTCTTGCAATAAAGTGTTATTTTGATAAACAAAGGACCCTTCTTTGTGTTATGTTGTTATTCAGTAGAAAAGCATCGTTTAGACATTTGAGGTATCACAAATGCAAAAAAAAAGTAAAATGCATCACAGTTCTGCTTGAAATGCAGTTTTTCACAAAAAGCTTGTGTTCTTAGTATTTTTCTGAGAAACGGGTATTGTCAAGAAACTTGCCAATGTACAACTGCTGTTTACGAAAGAATGGTGAAAGGTAGAAATGTACTTTTTTAAATATATAGCTACAGAATTCAATTTTCTCTACGCCTTCAACAATTAGTCAAATGGTCAAAAATGGCTGGCATCGGCTCTCCCAATTTGAGAAAAATGGCTGAATGGGAACCTACAGTTGATATAAAAAGTCTACATAACCTTGTTTAAATAGCCGGTGTCTGTGATATCCAAAAAAGAAAGTAAATCATTTGAAAATTTCTTCCCCGCCATGATCACCAAATCGATAACATGTACAGCTCAATTAAAAACATCAAATTCTTTTCCCAAAGTAACAGCTTCTTCCTTCTGGCAGGAGATTTGGAGGCAAGCTGGAACGTTACAAACATTCTTTTATCCCTACATCTATGAAGATGATGAATGCAAATATTTATTAGGGTGTGTACTTTAGTCAAGTTGTTTATTTATTCCGAGACTCCTTTTTAAGTCAGCCTTGATGTGGAGGTAACCAGTTTCTGGTGTGGTGTGTATCTCCTGGTGTGTTTATGATGCTGCCGACTGTAAACTGCAGGACGAGCTGAGTGTCCGTGACAAATTTCCCTTTGGGGACAATCAATTATACAAAATGAACGAGCTGAACAGTCAGTCCGAGAGAGGCTTGACTTTACCTCCTCTCTTCTTCTCTTTGTCCAGCAGCTGTTTTTTCAAGTCCTCGATGTCCTGCTTCAGTTTGGCATTTTCCACCAGCAGTTTCTTCTCCTCTCTGACGCTGGCCTGGATGCCTACAACGAGGTCAATTCTTGTTAACGTCTCCCGCAACGGCGCAAAAATCTCCAGATTGTAGGAAGTGCTCCCGCACTAACGCAAACACACTACTGGGTGAAATATAGCAAAGGCTGGGCTCTCAACTGGACTATGATACGGCTGATTATATGCTGTAGACTTGAAAGCATTTACTGGCTTTCTCCTTGAGCAGCTGGACTTGCTGTTTGAGGTACTCGATGATCTGGTCGGCCTCTGCAGCTCGCTGCTCCAGCCTCACCAATGGGTTGGAACTTGACATTTTGAACAAGGAGCGAGCTACGAACCTGAAAAAAAATTAATGTTAATGTTACTAAATACATTCATTCATGTAACAAGGGTTCATGATGGCGTACGTGCTAGATGCATGGTGTTGATGGTTTATGATAGTCTCCAATTTAAGTGCTTTGCTGCCATCTTGGGGCATCTACACACAGTCGTGAACCCTGTTTGGAGGCATAAATAGATTTCTGCTATTTGTGACAGGAGTTGGTCCCGAATACCTAATCCTCACGAAAAGAATAGAAGCATCCCCCCCCAAAAAATGCAATCCGTAAATCCCTACTCTACAGTACCAAAAAGCAACACAGCACCTAAAGACTGGTCACTGTAGACTGCCAATTGGTCAAAAGTCATCACGTCCCCATGACGCTATGACTCATTTTGTGACCCATCATTAGTTTTGCTTGTGCAAATAGCAACAGCAGATCTTAGTGGCAAACTTTATCTCACTATTGGCTGAATGCCTCAAGTGAGAAAAAGGTGACCTCTGTCCATAAGGGTCAGAGAAAGATAAACGATTAACCAGCCAATCCCAAATGAACCACAATAAACTACCGAAAGTGGAACAGAATTTTGATGGTCCTGAAGTAATTTACAGGGATGACGATATAGTTGGACTTTGAAATCGGATTTTAAAACGTGTCTATTTCCAATTATTACTTTTTTTTAATAAGGGTACAGCTCTCTAAAATTAAATGTGAAGGGGTGGGAAACAAAAGCTGGCCCAAGATTAAAAGAAATACAAGGAAAAATAGAAACATTTAAGCGCTGCAGTTGAGAGTTGTCGTTCTTGATTTAATTTAAACTGGGCCAGCGGGGCCCCCTACATAAATGTTGAACTAATTTGGATACGCATTTAAACATGTCATAGCACGCAAAGATGAATTCCATCTGTCGATAACGTATTCACGCAAAACAGTAAAATATGTTTGCATCTTGTACACCAGCGTGACGAATACAAAAGTGCTGTCAGAGCGCCACCCTAGGTGAAAGGAACTAACTTTACTCTAAAAATAGCTATACGACGATCCATTAATGGTTAGTAAGTTTAGACTGACTTGACTGTGTTGGTTATATTAGTTAAAACATGCCCATTTCTTATGTTTTTGTTTTTTTGTTGTTGCTTATGACAGCGTGTTTGCTAAATACTGTAAAGTTGTAAGCGTTGTCAATATGAAAGCGTGGAGCACAGAGCTCGACCAAATACATTCGAGCTCTGTGATGCCAGCTAAAGCTCTTTTGTTGTAACAGGCAAATAACATTGAGACAGGAATTCATATAAATGATCAACTTATTGCAGAACAGAGAATATTGTACTTAATGAACTACGTAGCTGTCAACCAAAAGCAACAAAACGGTTTCAAAGGCGTTCCGTTATTCGTAGCTGGTACTGCTAGCATTACTGCTTTAACAAAATAAGAGGAAAAATAACCCAGAAAAATAGATTACACTTACATGGACTTTTGGCATTCACATCCGCACGTTTAAGCCAGCGTCGGCGGGGTCTTGACACTCGCAGGCAAGGAATGTGAACAATAATTTAAAGCAGGCAGACACACGGATGCGAAATTAGGCCCATCACTGTCGATATATAAAATACCCGGATGCTCGAATGGCATATGGTGGCTTTTATCTACATGCTATATACATTGTTTTTATATCTGGCCGAAACAATCGCCGGTTAATAATTAGTTCAAAATGACATTTTGACAGTAGAGTTGAAAAAAGAAGTGGCGAACACCATACTTCAAATCTTCTTTTTTGGCATTCCATAACCGAAATTATGCCTTAAACTCGTGTGTAAATTCGTGCCTCTTTCAATACCTCGATGTCGCACAAATATGACGTCACTGATCACGTTATTGCCTTTTTTTTTGCGATAACAACCAACTTCATAAATGAAAATATTGCTACTTTAAACCTGCTGTCCATGCACTAGGACAGCCGGACCCTTTTGCCGTGAAGCGAGTGCAGGGACACCTTTCGTAGGTAATGTGGACATTTTTTTTTTTTTTCGTTTCCTACCGGGAAACGACATGTCAGATGTGTTCAGCGGGTGTTTATAGATTGGAGCATCAATCTACACTATGCTGATAGAATGATTCTTTGTTGAAACCATAAAAACGTGCCCTCTATAATATTATAAATTAAACCCGTCACTTTGCTATGTCATATGCGTGCGTCATGGCAGCATTTCTTAAGAAAAACTAATGATGATGGAACTGCAGTCAATTTCACGTAACTAGGATATCATTTAACAGTAAATCGTGAGGATAAAGCGGTTCGACAATGGATGGACGGATAAAACCCAAGTGAGATCTCTTTACCCGGATGTTAATAATGCAGGATGCAGCCCCTCAAGGATGCCCAGTTGGGGGCTTTTACATTCTTCGCCTCAGCGCTCCCCCATGATGTGTGCGGCAGCAACGGCCTTCCCCTGACCCCCAACTCCATCAAAATATTAGGACGCTTCCAGATCCTGAAGACCGTCACCCATCCCAGACTCTGCCAGTATGTGGACATTTCCAGAGGGAAACATGGTATGCATTGTGTAATATTACCCATGGAATTTACATGACCGATTATCACTCGCCATACCCATACGTGTCTCCTTCTTCCCTTCTTCCTGCAGAACGACTCATCGTCGTTGCCGAACACCACGAGAGCAGTCTGAGTGATTTCCAAAAACGGGGAAACAAAATCAGGTTGGAATTGTGGCAGAATCCATATTAATGGTCCACTAACAACAGGGGATTTAAGAAGTGGCAGAATAATTCTTGATGGAATACTATGGCCACTTTGTTGTTTTATTATATATGTATATATTTATATACAATAAAGGCATTCCATTCAATTATTATGACAGACCTTGATGGTGTCAAAGTGTGTTTGTGACACAAATGTGTGTGTATTTACTATTTAGCCCAGAGAGAGTTCTGCAGATTGCCTATGAGGTTCTGGAAGGCCTGGCCTTTATGAACAAACACGGTATGGTGCACAGGGCCCTCAGTGTGCACAATGTGCTCCTTGATAGCAAGGTAACGTTACGCGTATGCTTAATTCAAATATAATGCAAGAATTTTGTGAGCTGATATTAACATGAGAGGCATTTCTTTCAAGGGCAACGTCAAGCTGGCAAAGTTTGGCCTCTACCACATGACTGATCACGGCGCTGATGTGGACTTTCCAATCGGGTATGTATTTATTTGACTGCGAGCATGAACATATTACAACAACGGACAAGGACAAAATCACAGAGATTACTTGACATTTTTGGCACCAGTCCATTGTTTTTTTTTCAACATCTCTCCAAAAGCAAGACCCAGTATCTGAATGCCCCCACAAAAATGTATCCGAAAATTCTTGACTCTTAATTTAACCCTTTCATGCATCCTGTAACCTGATAACATGATAAGCTGTCCACCGTAGTAACCGCTATCCCTGATAGGGTTAAATAACCCTGTCCCAGGGTCAAGGACTGTCAAATATATCCTTCCACGTCTTGCATGCACTATACGAAACAACTCCAACCTAACTTGGACGCATATATTGATTTATTTTCAATCCTTTCAGATATTTTGAGTCCTGGATGGCAAACTCGAAAATTTAGTTGCACCTTGATTAGTTCTATGTTTCCAATGCCTTGCATTGCATATGTGAATGACTTGAACAAACTGGACCATACACGACTATAAATTCTTCATATTCCATTATTTTCCCATTCTCGAGAAGTGCGTTCTGCCAAAAAAAAAAAAAAAAAGTTGACTACAATGATCACTTTAAAGCTGCGTTAGCGTAGCTTAGCAGTAGGCTACTGTACACCAAAAATTCAGGTTACTTGGTCACCAGACCACCAGAACTGAGTCATGAACCTGACTGTAAAATACTTGATTCAAAAAAATGTGTGCTCCTCACCAGGTACCCATCATACCTTGCTCCTGAGGTGATTGCGCAGGGCTCCTTTCACCCCAGTGACCCTTTGCACCATGAAGCCCCACGGCCGTCGGGACCCAAAACTGACGTGTGGTCACTTGGCGTTCTGCTGTTTGAACTGTGCGCTGTAAGAACGTTTTGCATAAGATTACATTCAAGCCTTGCTGCCTTCACACTTTTTTTTTTTTTTTTTGGTGGGTCAGGGTCGACGGCTGCTGCATAACATCGACATCAACGAGAGGCTGAAGTTCATTCTAACTTTGGGTAAGCCGGTCTTTTTCACGAAGACTGTCCACGAGCCGCGGCAGACATCTCTCGTTATGTTGTCCGTGTCCTTTCAAGGCTGCATGGACGACATCGTCACAGTCCTGGCTGAAGAGCACGGCTGCCTGGAACACATTCAGGTAGTCCTCAAATCGGCTCTATGCCAGCCTGGGACATGTGTTTGACGTCATGGCGATGGTGCAGTGGGAGATTGCTGCATGTTTTTTTGCTGTAGCTTACTTTTTCCTCTAAATGTTTGTATTTATTTTTGTCAACTCAGCACCACTTTTCCGATGTGGCAATCAGTTGAAATTGCATTGCTCATATCGGACGAGGATGCCAAAAGCTTTCCCGTATATTTGGTTCCACTTCCTGTTCTGTGGTTACCTTTTTTTTTTTTTTTTTTTTTTTTAATTTTTTATTCTTCTGTGGTGGCAGGAAAAAAAAAGTATGTAGAGAGAAAGCAAAAGCGCTGTTTTGAGGCACATTTTTCTCTGAAATGTTGGTCCAATGGTACAACTTGTTCAATTCTTTGATTTTACACGTTTATGTTTTGATATGAAAATCCCTCTGGTTAATTGATAAAGAAAAAAAAAAAAAATTGCATGAGGTTGTCTGATCAAATCCTTTTGACAGGAGCTGCCCGAGAACGTTCTTGCGTTGCTGCAAAAATGCTTGACCTTCCTTCCTTCCAAACGGTATGTCAATCATTTCCTGTTTTCCCAAGATACTTTTTTGAACATAGTATCGGGCTGGGCGATCACTCGATTTTACCTTCAGGCAACACTAATATCATAGCAGCGAAGAGAAAGAAGCTTGTTTCCAAAAACTCTGTCGGTGTTGCCAACTTAGTGATGTTTGACTCAATTGGAAAAAAAAATGTAATAAGAGGGTGTGCACACTTGTACAACCACATCTTATTTTGACTTCCGATCTCTTAAAAAATATATTTTATTGTGATATCATATAATAGTCATAGGTCACATTAGCGGTGGAAAAAGTTTAAAAATAATTTCGCTTTTTTTATATCACAAAAAGCTGTCATTTGAATATGGGCGTGCAAGATACAAGCTTGACGGACTGGTCGTAGCATGTCTCATAATTTCAAATCGGAAAATTTCAAAGTGGCCTTTGCGTCCTTCCATTTTTCTGTATGCGGCCGCAGGAGGAAAACGTTTCGTTTGAACACCCCTGCCAGAGATTTGGAGCGTGTGACACAGCCCCGCCATTCAATTCAAAACATTTCAGCGGAACGGTTCCAAATTTGTTTCCCCACCCTTGAATGATATGAAACCAAAAAAAAAAACGACAGCACCAAACGGATGCCTTGTGCGCAACCTCCAGGCCGAGCCCAGCCGAGCTTTTGGGGGACGCCGTGTTTGATGGCGTGTCGTGCCTCTACACGCCCTACCAGAAGCCCGTCAGCCTGTTCTCATCCTCGCTACGCTGTGCACATCTGGAGCTCCCCGAGGACATCGGCGACCTTTGCAAAGGTTGGCCTTCAAACGCTCTCACTTTGTGCATGCTGATATTTCTCCTTACACGCTCGTCGTTACTCGCGCCAGTCAATTGTCTCTTCCTCGGTTAAAATTGGAAATAAATCAAGTAGAAGTTTGGATTCTGGTTCCTAAAATTGTTATAATTGAATTGTTTGGATGATAACGTTGTGTTAGGTGTTTGGGTATCAATACGGCACCGTGAGAAATCGGAAAGAATCATTTTTTGCTGTGTGTGGCTTTTAGGGGACGGCGACGATTACCTTTCAGAGCGGGCCATCAACGAGGTGTACAACCTGTGGTGCCTTGCAGGGGGCGACCTCGAAAAGGAGCTGACCAACAAGGAGATCATCCAGTCCAAACCTCCCATATGCACGCTGCCCAAGTACAATACTGCGCTGGTTTTTTTTTGTCGGCACACGACTGAACAATCGTCTTCACTTCTTCCCATTTCTTGCCCATCTGTAGTTTTGTGCTGGAAGATGGCGAGTCGTTCGGCCAGGGCAGGGATCGCAGTTTCTTGCTGGACGACACAACGGTGACTCTTTCTCTGTGCCAGCTCAGAAATGTAAGACCAAAGACAGGAGTGTATCAAAAAAATAAATAAAAAATACAAATCTCTGTTCACAGCCATTTGGTAAATGCTTGAAAGCGACGTTGAAAACAGGAAATTGATTGAGGCTACTTTTAAAGGCGATCTTTTGTCCTTTTCCAGAGACTAAAGGACGTCGCAGGAGAATCTTATTTCCCTCTTCTGGAGGACGAGTAAGTGGACTTCGCTTTCCATCCATCCATCCATCCATTTTCCGATCCGCTTATCCTCACAAGGGGAGCGTATCCCAGCCGTCTTTGGGCAGTAGGCGAGGGACACCCTGAACCGGTTGCCAGCCAATCGCAGTCCACACACAGACGAACAACCATCCGTGCTCACACTCACATTTAGAGACAATTTTAGAGTGTTCAATCAGCCTGCCATGCATGTTTTTGGAATGTGGGAGGAAACCGGAGTACCCGGAGAAAACCCACGCAGGCCCGGGGAGAACATGCAAATTCCACACAGGGAGGTCGGACCTAGAATTGAACCCGGTACCTCTGCACTGTGAGGTCGATGCGCTAACCACTGGACCACCGGGCCGCTAGGACCTCGCTTTCCGTCTCTTATTTTTCCACATCATTGCCACCGGCAATTTTGATTTACCCAACGGCAGACGAGGGCGAAATGCATCTGACGTTTCTCTCTCTCCATCCATTTTCAACACCGCTTATCCTGTTCGGGCTTGAAGGGAGCCAGCGGTTGATAATGGGTGAAAAGTAGACGACACCCTAGACGTGTCAGCATGTAATCCCAGGTCACACCCATGCACATTTGACTTTTGAGTATTGACGCCACACGGCGTGCGTTCTTCATCTGCGTGCCTCAGACAGTCAAGCCTGTCGCACTCCAACAGCGCCAACGAGCTGTCGGCCACCGTCAAGCTACCGCTCATCATCCGCGAGAGAGACACAGAGTACCAGCTCCTTCGTGTCATCCTCTTCGACAGACTGCTCCAGGTCTCCCCCTGCACGCGCTCTATTTCTAATAGCGAATAGCAGCTGATTTCGTATATTTCCGAACGTTCTCAGGCTTATCCTTACAAGAAAAATCGAGTGTACAAAGAGGCCAAGGTTGACATCCCACCTCTCGTGCGGGGACTAGCCTGGGCTGCGCTGCTGGGCATTGAGGTACAAAAAGATGTCGTGCAAGAAATTCACTGCCACCCAAATACAGCCTTGTGGGTCTTTTCTTTTGTGCAGGGGGACATTCAGGCCAAATACGAAAGCCTTGATAAGGACACACCCATTCCGACTGACAGACAGGTAACGGCAAGGCAGAGGTGTCTGAAGGTCTCGTGCGCTATACTTGATGTCTGTAAAAAGAGATACTGCAGTAAAAGCACATTGTCAATTATAAGCAATACCTATTTCTATAACTTGGCACAATATGATAATATTAAAAAAAAAACTTGCACACAAAATAAATGAATCACTCATGCCTGTAAAATCGATTTCACTGAATGGTGAAATAATTCACTCACGATATTTAAACGCGAGCCTATTTTCGCTCACAGATCGAGGTGGACATCCCACGCTGCCACCAGTACGACGAGCTGCTGTCCTCCCCGCAGGGTCACGTCAAGTTCAGACGTCTCTTGAAAGCCTGGGTAGTCTCCCATCCAGACCTGGTCTACTGGCAGGGTCAGTCGAACCCAAGCACATCATCTGTCTTCATCCCATTTTTAAAAATGTTTTTTTTTTTTCCCCAGACAAGATGAATTTCTTTATTTTTTTTATCAGGCACCATAACTGAGGTTTGCGCACCACCAAAAACAAATCATGATCTCGTACCCCTTTTGGGAAGCTCTTGATACCTTTTGGTGTATTATATGATTGGCCACAAGGGGAAGTGCTGTCCCATCTTTGACTCAGTCGGAACTACAATGACTGCAATAAATGTGACTGATTTATTACCAGTATATATGTAAAATCTTTTATCACAGGGCTACACATTTAAATTCAAAAAACACAATTAAATTACCTAATAAATGACGGATTCTGTTGAGGATCCTGTTCAGATACGCCTTTTTTTTTGTGATTTAAGAAAAAAAAATCCATTATTCCTGGAAAAATTCAAGCAATATTTTGACTTTTCCTTTTTGAACCTTTTCTCATAATTTTATTTAAAATGGCCTATATATGTCTTCATATGCTGTTGGTGTGATGAAAAAAAAGGCTAATCTGGTTCACTTGGAACCAAAATGTGCCATATCAAGCCACGTTTGGTCAAGATCGAATCCAGATTGCATATTTATGAGATTTTATTACATTCTGAATTTTGATACAACTTGGCGTGATTCAAGCCGTCGAGGTTTTTGATACAGCTGATGTAAGCTTTTGCTCTAATTTCACAAGTGACACTTTCTTTCTCTTTTAGGTTTGGATTCACTCTGTGCTCCTTTTCTTTACTTGAATTTTAACAATGAGGGTAAGAAGTCACAAGTTGCTGCTCTGTGTGCTTGGTTTGTTTGTTTTGTTTTTGGTCGGGGGGGTTGTTTTAGATCTCTGTGCTCTTCACAGCATTGGCATACGCGTGTATGTCCGCCTTTATTCCAAAATACCTCTACAACTTCTTCCTGAAGGACAACTCGCACGTCATCCAAGGTGAGATTGAGAAAAATGATGGGTTGCACTCGTGACGCCGTCGTCACGATTGCCGCCTTCTTTGGCCTGCGTGATGTTGAGCTGCTAAAGGACAAAGCAAAAATGCAAATGCCCTCCGCGTGGTTGCAGCGCGGTTCAAAAGCAAATTATCACGGTCTGCAACCAGCTGCTCGGTGTTGATTGCACTTTTTTTTTGTCTGTGAGTGTTGTTTCAAAGCTGTGAAAAGGAAGCGTAAACCTTCTCAATGCATTCCCACGGCTGCGCCGCATCATGTGGCATTCGGGAAATAAATGAAACAGCATTAAAAACTGGTCCTGCATGACTGATAATAAGCTACAAACTTGGACTATTATTATCTCGCTCCCCTCTTAGGCGGTCCAGAGAGTCGGATTTATGTTTATCTGTCTGCCCGTAGCTCTTTGGTGGATTAAAAAAAAAAAA